TACTTTGTTGTGAATGTTCTAATGTAATCTCTGATTATAAAAAAAATGTTTTCACATAATCGTCTGTCAAAACCAACACTGTGAATGAAATAATATTTTTAAATTTTAAAAACGGTCCATTGACTTTCTCAGTCTCTCATTGCTTTACCTGAAATACTTGCCCCTAAATCCCTCTGACACAAACTATCACTTACATATCAGAGTACACAGTGAGGGCCAATGAGTGCTGCTTGCTCTGCAGTGTATAGACATGCTGAAGACCGCTAGTGCAGCTCAGTTCATGAAACCCTCATTACAGGATGTACATCCCACAGGACACAGCAGGATACAGCCTCAATGAAAACCTAGAGCAAGGAAACGTTTTGATGACGTCTCCATTTTAGGGTAAGTTGAGAATCTTAGGTTCTGTACAGCAGTTTAGATAAATGTGTTGCAGGCCAGGAATATCATGACTGACTGGAAGTTTATAATCTGACGTTTAGAAAGTTGTTGCACCTCTTGCATCTCGTGACCATCTGTGAAGATGTGGTTGTGGAAATACCTAACTAAAATTGATTCAATTAACATTTTTAATTCAGTTTGATTAAAAAAAAAAAAAAGAAAAAAGAAATGACCTTTACTGCAAAAACAAAATCTTTCCAAGAGTTTTTGTTTTTGTCTAGTTTCTATTGCAAATACCTTAGTAAACATGAAACAAGACAAGACTAACTTACAATTAATTGTTTGAAGTCAATAATTCCTTAATATTGATGAAATAGGATGAGTTCCACTGGCAGATTATTTCACTTATAACATGGAAAAATATCTTGTCATAAGTAAATGAATCTGCCAATGGAACTAGGATACGGTGCTTTTCATCACTGCTGCTATTTCTAAAATATGTGCACCAATATTGCACCGTTGTGGAAGTTCACTTGTCATAAAATAAAAGTTCACCCCTTAAAATGTAAGTTAAAATTTAATTTCTGCATTCCTGTTGCCAGATTTAAAATGCTTGCTCAATTCAGGCTTTTCAATTTAATGTTCATATTTCATAGAAAATATTGATCCTAGTCATTTAGTCGGGGTCTTGAATGAAATAACACAAAATATTGGTGAATCCACCTGAGAAGCAGCTGGATAACTGAACAGTTTACTACATTATGGGAGTTAAATAAAGCTAGAAGAAATTTTGATGACTCCAGATGGTTCTAAGTTTGATTTCCATATTGTTCTGTATTTACTTCCTAGTGTTTTATGAAGTTTTGAAGGAAATCCATATTTTTAAATGATACATTTCTCAATTTCCAGTTTTTATTTATTTATATTTTCAGGATGATATTTGTTTCTTAGTCCATGTGATCATTTAGGTCTGGGTTGTTTCTACTGTTAGTGTTTAATGACGGGAACATTGCTTTGTGTCTTGAAACACTTTGATAACAGAATGTTGAAACTATAGCTTCTGTTCTGTGGCTTTCTTTAGTAATTTAATTACATGTACCAGAATAACACTTTAGAAATCTGGATTATTTCATTAATGCTACATTGCTGTGAGGAGACACTGAGTCTGATCTTGACGATTAATGCCAGCTGTCCCTGCTGCTCTACTATTACTCATTGTAACAATCACTACAGAGTGACAGAGGAGCCAGTCTGAATCTCACTGTCCTTCACTTCCTCCTCTCTGTTGGGGGAAGTTAAATATTTAGTTAGCCAGTTAAATATGTGTCCTCTGCCTCCCAGAGGTGACAAACTACATCCAGAACTCTGGATTGGCTTCTTTTGTTCTTTTAATTTTCTGTTTGAAAAAGGTTGGATCTACATCTACATAGTTCACCCACAGTTTGAAAGTGTTTGAACATGAAATGCTGAAAAATACTTCATCAGCTTGTGCTGCTGTTTGTAGTGAACTGAGCATAAAACAAAGCTCTGTGGTTTCCCATATTGCACCAGAAATGTTAGGATGTTAGGAAAATCATCTTTCCTAGATCCAAGTTTGGTCCCAGAGGTAAAGCAGCATATTCCTAAATAATCTATCAAACCATTCGCCTGCTGTCTATTCCAGCTCATCCCTGCATGGCCATGGGGGGCTGGTGCCCATCTTCAGTGCTTTTTGGGAAAAAGAAGGGATTCACCAGAGACACAAAGGACAATGCCACTGTGCACACACACTTAAGGGCAACTTAGAGAGGCTAATATACCAGACAGTTTAGAAAGCTTGAGTACCCAGAGAGAATCTGTGGATGTACATGGAGAACATAATGACTCCATGGACAAAGGGTCCAGACCAGGACTCAAAGCCAATACCGTCTTGATGCAAGGCAACAGGGCTGCTGTCTGTCCCATGTGCAGACAGCCATATAGACCTTTTACATCCTCGCTGTTTAAGTGACGTGACCTTCACAAATGACCTGACTCTTTAGAGCAGCTCTTTACCCAGAATGATAGGACTTGTTCCTCAGGTAGTGACAGCTGTTCTTGTTTTTTGTGGGTTTTTTTTTTTTTGTCAGACTTTGCTTACTTATAATGCTTTGCACACACTGCAACAGCTATTATGATATTTTAGAAAATTATATTTATTTAATTGTTGAATTACTGTGATGGACTGGTGACCCGTCCAGGCTGAACCCAGCCTCTCTCCTGATGACAGCTGGAGGTTTGGCACCAGCTCCTCCTGACACTAATGGGATACGGTTGTAAGAAAATGGATGGATGGACAAATGTTTAATTTTAAAAAATTAACCAAAACACAGCCAGCTGTCTGACCATACATCGTTCTCTTTGCCTACTGTTTGTTTTTGTCACGTGTCATGGCGGCTCTGTGGTCCACCTGTCTGCTCCACTGATGGTCACAGTCCACTCCTTTCTCCATGGTTTCCCCTTGTTTGTTGCTTCTTGGTTAAAGTTCCCAGTTCAGTGTTCCCATTGGTGCGTTGCCTTAATTCTTATATTAAAACAAAAAATAAATAAAATAATAAGCTGACTAAAGTCCTCATCACATCACTTGAAAACACACAATTCATTGAAATAGAACAGTGGAGGAAAGTTATATCAAGGCCAATTTTGCAATGACATTCAGTCTGGATTTAAGGTTTACACAAAACATATGTTTAACTTTAATAGACAAGCTGTTGCAGTACTAATGTAATAAAACTGTCTTGCAATTAACCTTTCTGTAACAAGATCATAATTTTACTGAAACCATGTCTGCCTATGTTACAAATGTTGGAGGTCTATATATCTGGTTTCTCCCAAACCAAAGTCCTGAAGCATAAGTCATGACATTCGATTGATGGTGCAATTTAAAGTTAGGTTAGGGGATTCAAAAGGGTGTCCAAGCAAAGAGTTATGTGAGCCTGAGTTTCCATGTAAAAGCATGCATGTATGCCAGCAAGCCCAACCATGTCAGTCAGAGCAGCAGCGCCAGCGTCACGCCACACCACCTGCCAGTCCAGCCTTCCAGGAAGAGGAACACTCACTGCGTCAGAAAGAGACATGCATCTTATGATCTTCTCCAATGAAGCCAGCATGTGCATGTGACTGAATGCATGGGTTGGTGTGGCATGTGTTTATGTAAGCATCAAAGGATGAAGGAAGGGACAGCTTGGTGGTGCATTGGTATATTTTTTTTTTTTTTTTGGATTTCTTTTTACATAGGGCCATGTAGGTTTTGGTGTTTAATTTTTTTCCGGTGTTGAAAGCAAAGTTCATCCATTTAAAAACTCTGTTTTGTGCTTACTTTTGTTGTCTTTGACAAATAGTTCAGTTGGTCTGATGTTCTGAAACACTGAAGTCTGATAACTACGTATAAAACCTTATAGGAAATCAAACAGGATGCGAAAATTTTTTTACACGACTGTTTATGGTGTAAATTCAAAACAAATTAGCAAAAAAAAAAAAAAATCCAACTCACTTCCATTTAATCACACATTTAGTTCAAGCCTGGCCATTAAACTATACATTAAGTGTAGTACATTTTTCAAATTAGCTAAAAAAAAGTTTCTATTTAAGGAAACCCAACAAACTGGATGGAGTCATTGATTTGCAACATTCCCTCTCCTGGACCAGCGCATAGTGATGAAGATAATCACTTGTATTGAGTGATTTACAACAATTTGACAAAACAATGAAGGGGGAAAACTCCCATTTAGCAGGAAGAAACATCCAGCAGAATCAGAACCTGACTCAGAACCTGACTCAGAACCTGAGCTGCCATCTGCAACAACCGAACGAGGGTTGAGAAGAGCAGAACGCCCAAGAAGAAACAGAAGATCTGGTGAAGGAGTGCGATCTATGTTCAAGTAAAACGTTAATAGCAGGAAAGGGGCAGGTTTAATTGTAGGCAGTGACTCCCTGCTGATTTGAACTGATGACCTCTAGACAGGGGGAAAGTTAGGATAATTTCAAGGCCCCTGACCAACAGGGGGAAACCCCCCAAATACATATATATTTTATTGTTCATAGAAATTGAAAAAAATTGGGACCCTGTGAATTGCAAAATTATCAAACCCTGCTCTGTCCTAAACCCTGCTCTGTCCCAAACCCTGCTCTGTCCTGCTACAGAGCAGAGTTTCATTTCTTCACAGTCTTTCAACTTCAGCTAAAAATCACATATCCTGCTCAGACTGCACCAAAGGTTTATTAGTCAGTCTGTTCACCACGACTGCAAATGAGAGAAGACTCAGAGCTGATCTCTGACCTATGAGCTACCACCTCTCCTCTTACTCCATGCTCTTCCATTCTATTTCCACACATTGCAGATACCTTCCACATCTACGCTGACAGATGCTGATGTTCTCTCAGTTACAATTACCCAACCTGTCAGACAAGAAGACCAGCCAAACACAGATCAGTTACACTTTTCACCTCCGCCACAAAGACACATTGTCTGGAATGATATCTTGGATCTGGACCGTTGATCAGAAGTGAACAGCTCTGTGACGTCTCAGGGGTGTCCCCCCCTCCCCCCCCCCCAAGAAGAATGCTGAGTTTTAGATTTATGACTTCTAAGTTAGAAGAATGTTGTTGTTTTTTTTCAAGGGTGCAAGACTTGATTGCGTCTCTTCTGTCGCCGTGCTCTGTTTTAAGGGTTTTGTGTCAGGCAAATTTTACTTAACAGTCACAGGCAATAACTGTATTAAAAGGCAGCAATAGGAAAGGCAGGATAAGTCTATGGATGGACAAGCTGTGAGGTGACTGGTGCCATGCTGGGGGGGAAATGCTCCTACACGTTAACAGCTGATCTTTGACTGCACCACCAGAAACCACATGAGTTCTGCATCATTATCACTTCTTACCTGGCCTGAAAAATACAAGACTGTTTTTTATTCAATATGTTCTGCAGATAATGGCAGGAAGATAGAATTTCCTTTTCACCTTAGATGAAAAAATAAAAGCAGCAATTCTATCCACCCAGCTTGAAATCACTGCCTAAGAGGTGAGCTAGAATTTAAGCCGTTAAATTTTCAGTAGTGAAAACATCCAGACTGGTTGCAGTTTGAACGTCTCAGAATAGAGATGCAGGATTGTAATTCTTCAGTGACGTTGTTCCAGTTATCCTCAGCCATGGTCAGTGTTTTGCTGCCTGGTGTCGTTGGTGCTCAGCTGGGTTCGTGTCAGCGCTGCAGCTCTGCCTTTCATCATATTCCACCTCTTCACCCTGAATAGCTTTTGGATTGCCACAACCAAATGTTCAAATCATTGTCCTGCTGAATGGCATGTGTTGCATCCTTTCCACATGTTGAGTCCTATCCATCACCTGTCAGCAATGAATTCATCAGCAAAGGCCACCATTACAGCCATGCCTGAGCTGCAACCAAAGATGAGGAGCACTGGGTTAAGATCGCTGTGTTTTTGTTGTTTGTTTTGTAATTTTTTTTTTTCATTCTACTTTCAGTTGACAGAAGTTAATTGCAGATTGGGACCAGATTTTCTTTTAGTTTAGAGCAACTTTATTTTCAGTTCCTCGTGTTTACCTCATTGCTTTGGGTTTATTTCAGAAGCAGTGAACACAGAGAGGAAAGGGGAAAGACAAAGGAAAAGAGGTGGGGGAGAAAGTTAAAGGGGAAAGAGGGAGGTAAGACTTAAACATAGGAAAAATAGAGAATACAAGAAAACACCCTAAAAGTCTGCTACTGCACCTGCAGAAAGAGAAAAAAACAAGAAACCACAGCAACCAATAACATATGAAAACAACAGCACTGAAAAGCTCACAGTACTAATTAACAAAATGTATTCAGTGAGATCTGAAAACAATTACATCCAAACCTCAGTGAACAACTGGGCCCCGTTTCAGAAAGCAGCGTGAACAAAACAGATACTCTGAGTAAACCTTCATAAACGCTATTCACCATGGCAACAAGAGAGAAAAAAAGAAGCAGTCTGATGAATATCAAAACATGTTTATAAAATTATTGAAAACAACAACAAGTAGCCAGATAGCATGAAGCACTGATACCTGAGAACTAAATTAACACTCAAAATACAACTTTCCTTGGTGAATATTACTGATTGTAGCAATAAAATAAGATTGTGAATATATCAGCTTTATTGAGGCTGAAAATAAACCCTGATTGTGCCAACTCACAGTCATAGTTAGAACATCAGCTGCTTTTGCTGACTGATGAATTAGACTTGTTAAATTTAGGATGTGAATAAGTGGGAGCCATGATGGATCACCTCAGTCATGGTGACATATTTAGATGTAGTGTATTCTGAACACTTGTTGTGCACTGCAGTCTCTTCATCAGCTCATATGTTAAAGGAGAAATGTGATCCTGGAAGTCACTTTGTATTTGCAAGGTTAGAGCATGCTGAAACAAAAGTTCTCCTCTGAGAAAATGAAAATCAGTCAGAATTCACAGAAGATCTAGTTGATCCTTCCTGATTCAGCCCCAGTGAATCCATCCAGGTTGTTTGAAACTTTGCTGCGTTCTTTGTTGCAGGTGGATCTCAGCCTCCAGCAGCAGCAGTGGACTCCCATTTGCACACTTCTCAGAAACAATGTTTCTCTTTGTAGGAACTAAAGTCACAGAGAGAAGGGATGAACGCAGGTACCACCTTTACTCTGACCCAGCTCCATTTTGAGTTTGTTAGATGAATTTATTCCCGCTGAAGTAGACAGGAAACACATTTGACAAGAAGCTCACATCGTTTTAATCCTGTTCAGTTCTATTTACCAGAGGATTCGGGACCATGAGGTGCTGGACAGGAGGAAGACGGTGACGGCTCTGAGGGCGGGAGAGGACAGAGCCATCCTGCTGGGCCTCAGCATGGTCTTCTTCTCTATCATGATGTACTTCGTACTGGGCATCACCATCCTGCGCTCTTACTCTGACAGGTACTGTCCTGTTTTATACTGGACCAACTTCTGGAAAGGTGATCACATCTACAGTCCCTTAAAGGTGTAGTATGTAATTTCTTTACTTAAAAAATATGTTTTTTTTATATGTGTTAAAGATGTCACCCATGTTGTGACAGGATGTTATGAGACAGCTAATCTGTGAAGTGGCCCTGTACTATTATTACTGTTTATGAATGCACTGCCCAACCAAAGAGCAGCTGTAAAGAAGCACTCTGTCTACTTCCTCTTCTATACATTTCATCATATGACAGACAAAAGTTTAAATGCAGTTTGTGGTGAATTCTGATATAGAAGGAAAATGCTAAATGATTCTCAAAATGAAGATAAACATTTAAAAATTTAAAATGTATTATTTTACACGAGTCTCTAGTGGAACCACCATACACTGTGATTGAAGGTGCAGATCTTTAGGGGTTCGTCATGCTTTGCACACATGGAACTTTCTTTCCAACCTCAGACTGATGGAAAACAGCAACTAATGAGTCTTGCAATAGATCCTCGTTTGAAGCTGGGTCTGAACTTTGACTAGACCATTCTAAACCTTGGCTGTGGTGTCGAGTCTTTTGCAGAAATGTAAAAAAAAAGTTTTGCTTAATTTTTCTTGTCCTTGTTGAAGAAAGGTTTCTTTGCAGGAGGATGCTGTTGTCACCACACGTCACTTTTGATGTGTTCAGTGTTATTTGGGGTGTTTAGCATTCAGACCAGTAAATTCACAGAGCCAGTTGTGCTTTGATGATACCACAAGTAGTAGACGTGGGATCATCTACGACACGACTACTGTGTGCAGTACAAACTTGAAACTTGACTTTTCATAGTGTGTTTTTCATCATTAACTTGCTTCCAGAAAGTGAACAAACACAGTTAATGTAGTCTTGGTGATGTTTGATTACACTGAATTAATTTTTTTTTCTCATGCTAAATATCAATTTTCTTTTTGCTTACTCACCCATTATTACTTTGTCTTGTGTCCTATTCCATAAAATCCCAATGAAATACATTGCAGTTTCATGTTGGATCACTGACATAATGTGGAAACGATTAAGAAATTTGAAGATTTTTTTCCAAGACGCGGTATTAAAAAGTGACTGCCGTTGTCTCTCCAGTGTGTGGACAGACGAGGATAACTGCACCATTGTGAACTCCACCATAGTGTGGGATGTAAACTGTTCATACAGCTGTGGAGTCGAGTGCTGGAAGAGTTCCCGTTACCCCTGCCTTCAAGTGTTTGTCAGCCTGAACTCGTCAGGACGGCTGGTCCGATTGCTGCACAATGAGGAGACACACGACAGCAATCCCGAGGTATGCAACCACAGATGCTGCAGCTGTGGCTTCATGTGATTCACGAAGGACAAGTCTGGTTTGAACAACAAGTGGTGTCACCCAGAACACGCTGCTGTCAGGCGTAGGCTCTTAGAAAGTTTTATCTGTGCCATTTTCCAAGAGTGTTATTTCAGTAACCACCATCAGCTGTTGCTGACACTGCATGTGATGTCATCTTATCACTTTTTGCTAAGCTACGGACACAATGTGTTTGTTAGCTGCTGTACCAGAGAAAGTAAATTGCTGCGGTTGTTTGCATGTGTCAATGATTCTTACACCTCCACACAGAGAACCTCTGCTTGGCAAATCAGATCACAGTCTCGTCTTTCTCTGCTCAGAATATAAACCCCTTGTTCAAAGACATAAAAAGATAACTGTGAAAAAAGATCACAGGAAGTTTAAGGTGGCTTTCTGTGTTCTTATGTGTTTATACACTAGGAAGGACAGAGATGATGTTACTGACTGACTGACTGTAGAAACTCCCCACCAGAACAGTGAGATGTTCCCAAATAATAAGCGATGATTCATTAACCAGTAATTATTACCATAATATCTAAGCATTAGTCAAACCTAAACGAAAAGAGTGAAATATAAATCTGTCTTTTACCAGACAGATCACAATGATTGCATTTTTTTTTTCTTTCAGTGTTTCTACATTCCAAAGTGTCATAGGGACTATGCTGCCACACATGCCATGGTTCAGGACATTTCCCAGAGACTCAGGACTCAGCTTACAGTTCAGTGTTATGTCGACCCAACAGAGAAGACAGACAGCGCCATCATGACCCAGATTTATGGTCGAATTGCCGTCTTCCACTCTTTATTCTGGCCAACCTGCTCTCTGATCGGAGGAACCGTCATCATTGCCATGGTGAAGCTGACCCAGTATCTCTCCATCATGTGCGAAAGACTCAGCCACATCAAAAGGTGAAGTGAATGTAACAGATTGAAGGTCAAAGACAAATTGAGGTTGTTTTTTTTTCCCCCATAGTAAAATAAGGGAAGAAGCTGACTGTGGACTGCTGCTTCGTGAACGAAAGACATTCATGTCTTACAACCTCAATGCAAACTACAGAAGAAGCAGACACACTTTTGGAATGAAGTCTATCTTATCTTATATCTATGTTATAGACAAAGCTGCTTCTATGTCATATATATTTGGTTTTCTAAGTTTTCTTTGAAATTCACAACCAGTGGATGCAAATGGTGAGTACAGCTCATTAACTGTAGTTAAATTTCAACAGATCTTGTAAATATTGTCCTTCTTCCCTGTTATTTACAGACATGCATATTAATTATTTTAGTTAACATTATTAAGATGTCTTCCTACTATGTACAATGTACATGTGAATGGATTGTTTAGTATTGGAAATTGTGGGTGCCTTTAAAGAAAACGAGTATTTAAATACATTACTCATGTATTCATAGTCACTGTCTAAGCTACACCTTGTGGATGTGAGGGCTACAAATAAATAATCCAGTAAATGTCTACACTCCTAATCAAACAAGAGGAAAGTTGCGTGTTTGTTGTACAGACCTCCATAAAGTGCAATTAACCAGACAAAAATATATTAGCCACCAGTAATCTCCACTCTTATTGAAAGATGTGCAGGTGGTAAATTGATTTGATTGTATTTTCTGACAGGCCATGCATAGTGCGCTGTTGTGCTAACACGCACGTCAAATGAATATTTCTTTGAGCAGCACATTTCAGCCACAGGGCAGCTCCAAGTGCTTTACATGGTGAAAACACAATGCAGTGATAAATTATGGAACAAGCAATAAACATGACATTTTGCCAAATGTCACCATCACAAATAATCATCATCATCAGAAGAAGACTGGCTTTGTGTTTTTAATGAGTAGCACTAACAGGTTTGGGTTTGATGCTTACTGTCTCCTGACTCCAAATGAACAAAACAATGTTTGGTTTAATGATATGTAGCTAAAGTATACATTGCAACGTTCAGCACATGTGCAAATTAATTTTGTACAGGGACCTATTTTATTTTCTGACTGGTTGTTTTCATTTTTATTTCAGATTTTACTACATGTCACTCATGTTGATTAAGAGTTACTGTAATCAATGTATCTTTTAAGTTTAAACTACTGGTGTAGCCTGTAAGAGTGGTGATTAATCAGTAACTATAAATAAATGTTTATTGCATCTGGACAATTTTAAAGAAACAAACACAAACTTTCTGATGGGATATAAGTTTGTTTTGGCAGAATTAATCTGGGTTTAGAAATGTGAAGTCTGCAATTTGTTGCTGTAAAATTATTTGTTTACTTGTTGATGCTACTTTTAATCTTTTGTTGGTATTTTTCTCAGTCACTAAAACGTCTATTTTCATCTGAATGTTCTCTGTCTCACCGAAACATGTCAAGCGTTGCGTTTTGCGATGAAATAGATTGTCAGAGAATTATATTTTAGAGCAAACTGAATGTTCCATTCAACGCTGATTCAACATTAACATTTTTTCTTTATGCTTTACAATGTTACATTTCTGTCCTATTTTTTGAGCAAAGATAAAGTAAAACAGCTAATAAACAGACAGTCACACTAAAAAGGGGTGGATGGCTATTTTTTATCACATGTGCAAAGTTTAACTTTAGTGTTTCTAGGAACTGTTTACTGACATGTGTTAAACTGTACTACAGCTGCAGAAACACACCTGAAATCTGCTTAAGCTTATTATTCTGGCAACAACATTAAAGAGTGAACGGGATGTTGGGAATAATTAGCGAGGCAAATAACCACAATATGTCTTCCCTCCACTCATAAAATTGATTAGATAGTTTGCGCATTATCAACACAAAGTGCCGTTTCCTCTGATGTTCAAAGAGAGCAGAGGATTTACTGTGTGAAGGAGTCATGATGCTCAGGTGGCTCATTCTGGTGTTTGCTGTTGGACGGGTTGGACCGTGTCTCTTTAAATATGGATAAGATGCCTCAGAGGAGTGAAGATATGCAGCGAAGCAACTCAATATGTTTTATGTTACAGACAGCAGCAAAACTGACAAGCGAAACAGGTGGGTCAACTGAAACGTTTCTAACAGAGGTTTTGAGCCAAACTAGACGGCTGTTAATGAAACCTGCAGACTTTAAACATTCTTCTTGCTCAGACTTTAATTGCTCAATATTTTGGATGCGTGGCCAACAGGAACTGAACGGTTTTGTTCATTTCCTCAGCTGCCAATGCCAAACAACAACCATAGGCAGAATATAATTCTTTTTACTTTTTCAATTTTATTTGATCATCCATCAATAAGGTTGTTGATCACAGGGACAGAGCAAAGATGGCATTCTGTTTTGTTCTTGTTTTCTACCCATCCATCCATACGCAGCTGCAAACAACAAAAACAACAACATAAAGTAAGAAAAATATAACAGATGGAAAAAACAGCGCACAATAAAAACTACAACAATAATTGCACAGATGAAAAAAAACAAACAAAACACAAGCATGAAAACCCAGGAGACCAAGACAGAACAACTCAAAAACGTGGACAGCATGCAAACAAGCATCCACACAAGCATGGGCACACAAACCAAATCAGGACATGGATATTTAAACCTGCACTGGTTGACAATCACTGTCAATAACCAGAACCACAAGGTCCCACTGAGGCCGTCGGGCCGGGGACACAGACACACACTCAGCAGAGCCAGCTCCTGTGTGACTTTCAGGCTCCAGGGAGAGCATCCAGTCGAAAACTTTTGGATTGAACCTCTAACACAAAATTTGATCTTCTCTAAGTGAAGGAACAGGGTCAGATCATTCAGCAGACTATACTTCATTGCAGAATACAGCTAATAACTCTTCCTTCTGTTTGCTAATTGGCCCAGATGACATTCATCTTGAAAATTTGAGCTCAAAAGGAGTCTGAAGGGAGATAAGAATTGAGTGGAATTGGCCAAGTTTCATCCATAGTAAAACACAAACTTCAGAAACGACAGGAATTGATGTTCACAAAGTTCTCATGATCTCCTCATGTCTAGTATTGTGCAACTTGTTTTTCAAACTGCCACCATACTGTACATGACAAGTTAGAAAACAGTGTTGCAGCATCTTAATATCTTGACTCATCTGACATCTGCAGAAACTGATGCTGATCAGGGCAGAGACGTTACACCATGGAAGGGAGAGGAGAAGCACATCTCTGTGTGAAAGGCAGGCCCCCTTGCTCCCTTAATTAAGATCTGACTGTCACACACATTTTGCAATGGTACAAGTCAAAGGAAATGAGAAATATGAATTTAGTTAAACATATATGTAGAGAATAAAGCTAATTGCCAGCTTAGCCGCTCCCCTCCCTCGCTCTGATGTGGTCTATTCGTCTCCTCTTCAGTATCTTTGCTATGGTGTCTAACGTCAGTCCTCAACAACCGGTATCTTGCGTATTTTCTTTCCCTAGTTCAGCACACCTGACTCACGCTGTCGTTCCATAGCCACTTTCTGCCCTGAATAGAAATATCACAGATGCATAGAGGCGAAGTATGATAGAAGTTATGGTGTCGTATGAATTGTGCCTTAAAAGTTTAAAATTGTGCCTTAAAAGTTTTGGTATAGTAAAGTTTGGTTTACTATACCAACTCATACCACCATGGTATCACATAGTTAGTGGAGGTTCAACATAGACACCTTATTGATGCACATGTGCTACTAGTATGACATGCGATGATAATCTCAGACTTCAGCTGTCAGGGAGCTGTGAATATCTTAGCTGCAACACAAGCATGCAGAAACTGGAGATGACAATAGGATTTCTATCCCACTTTATTAAGAAGATTAGCATCGCTCACACTCAGCAATTTATCCAGGCCCTCTGCTTATTTGTTTTCTGCTCTCTTCAGTTTTGCTTTTAGTCCTTTGGGCTCAAATGTATCTCAGCAGATTTTAGTTGAGCTGATCATAAAAATCTATTGCAATTAAACATTGCCCTCGTTCAGGAGATCACGTTTTGCCTCTTATTGAAGGCAAGCAACTCCTTCGTGAAGAAATCTGGTAAAAGAGATCTGGCAACATCAGATCAAAGGTACCTCATTCAATTCACTTACATAACAAGTATAGTTTATGGACTGTTGATAACTTGATGTAGATAGTTGATGAATTTTACCTGAGGCTGTATCTTATCGTTCATTTGAACCTGCACGAGCCTCTACTGAGCAGACTGCGTATGATTCAAAAATATGGGACTCTGGTGCCACCTTGTGGTAAAACCCATTAATGCTCTCAGAAATAAACTAAGTCACATTTATGCAGCTGATGCAGAGAATCATCTTCTGAGTGTTTGTTCTGCTTTGACCTTTTCATCATCCCTGTCGCTTGCCTGTCATCACAGAGATAAAACTTCAGTATAACGCTTTACTATTTTGACCCATTGATGAGTCAAGAATCACTGGTGGGACATTGATCCAAAATGGACTCCTGAATATTTTTAAAGAGGCAGTATTATATAAAATTTGAGCCTTGTGTTATGTTATTCCCTTATGAAAAACATACCTGGAGTGTCGCTTTGATTCTTCCGTGCACATTTGAGAAATCCCAACATCTCCATGTCAACGATTCAGTTGTGCTAAATGTCTGGGTGGATCTGGCCCCGCCTTTGAGGCGCAGCTCCTCCTCAGAGCTCTTCCTCCAAGCTGAAGTTTCCAAGCTATCATGACTGAAAGAAGAATTTTTAGGATCGTCAAGATCCTAAAAATCCTAAAAAAGGTACGTTGAGACAGGTGGCAAAAGTAACCCCAAGTCACTACACTATTCCATAAAGAACCACTGACACTCTGTTCAGATCATTTTATGAGGGAGATGTTTGAAAATATGCAATAAATAAAAAAACAAAAGAGGAGTTAATACAATAAACAACCAACAACAAGCAGTTCACATTAAAAGTTTTATTGTGATTTTCTCAAACAGCATGAGTGCAACAATTCACACAAATGGAGGGCAAGAAAACATGGATAAACTCACAGAGTGTCACACATGTTGCATGTATAGTGACCTTTGTCCATTGTGCTTCTGTTTAAGTTGCAGAACTTGAAGAAACAATCATTTCACCTGCAGGACATTTCAGGAAAATTAAAGAGCCAAAATGGCTGCTACTACTCATCAAAACAGACTTCAAGACTTCCAAGGCCACAGATTGTCTTCTGTCTAGAATGGTTCAGACATTTTTGAATTGCTAACAGTCACTATCAATAATGTGCAAGTTTTCCTTTAATTCTTAATGTTTTGGTTTGACCCAGCTAAGAACTTTGTTGACCCTTAGAGCTTTGCTGCCTTTTACTTTTCTCTCACATATTCGTTTGTAAGAGGCGAGATAAAACAGACGCATTGTAGAACAGGGCCTTCGGGTTTGGTTTAATACTGACATTTTAAGGCATTTTACGGCTGTGCAAAGCAGGATTGTAAATGATCTTTAAAGACATTGTCACCAATTCTGCTTCCCTAAAAATTTAGACTACAACTCCTTTGGTTTCTGTCTGACAAAAATAAAAGAACAATTAAACCATGTTGAAAAGAAGAGAGAAACATTTTCCATGCAACACTGCATGTTTCTTTTTTCTCATTTCACAGATATGCTTCACATCCAAAGAAAAAAAAAAGAGTTGAGACCTAAGATGGAATAGGGCAACTCCTGCTACAACTAGACTGCTCTACTTCACTTTCTGCTGATCAGAATCAGCAGCATTCTTGACTGAGCACAATTTTCTTCCTGTGTGACATTTTAAGAACCAAAATAAAAACTGTCCAAGACGAGCTCGGATTCTCATCGAGTTCCAGTTATTGTGCGTGTAGATTAGCCTGGATGCGAGAAATAAAAGGTTTGCCGCATTCTTCACTTCACACACACAATATTCACTTTGTATCTGCTGACAAAGGAATACCACACACAACTCTGCAACTGAAACCTAGAAAAGTTGTTTCTAGAAAATGCTACAGTTGAAAGTAAACAAACCATCTCTGCTCAACTTTAATGAGGGATTGAGGTTTTATGTGACAGATCAACTCAAACCAGTGCCTATTCTGTAACTCGGTGTCCCTCTTCCACCAGCCAATCAAACAGCTGACTTCTCATCTACAGGAAGTTGCTACTTAGACGTTCCTGTGATGTGGAATCAGATACATTTCTCCTGGTCCTTGGAGAGTAGGATTGTTCATTCCTGGTTCAGATCAAAGCAGAATGGCCAATCTTAGAAATCCAATCAATTAAGCTTGAGACACCCTGAAAGGGTCCGAGCTGAAGGGCAGTAAAAGGCAGGTTGTTGTAAACCAGCCTATTGTTCTACGCTTTTGGCTCTCAGCCATATTGAGAAATTATTACTCGCTGGAGATGTGGACTCTTGAAGTTTTAAATAATTTATTTGATTTTACCCAACTACTAACATTTAACCCTGGCATAAGTAATGGCCAACTTCATGAAGCTTACAGGAAGTTATGGGTGCTGTAAGCAACCCGATGGGCCACAAGATCTTTTCCAGCAATTAAATGTCTTCAACTCTCTCTTACTCTGACTTCAGTTGCTCACTTACTACACCAACATTGTCAAACCACAACTCTATGTTGCCAGACAACTATACTAAAAATCTATATCATCGTTCACAACTTCTCCTTCTGTTTGCTGATTGGTTTGGTTAAATTTCTACCAGTGAAATCCCAGGCGGAGCGCTGAAGGAAGACGAAAATCTCCCTTCAGTGTGAGATTGCATGGGAAGGCAATGGCCAAGGTAAGTAAAAGTACAAAGTAGTTCCTCATAGTTATGTACTACTTTGTGTTGGGATTTCACATGAAGTCGGAACAAAGTGCAAAAATGTAATGTAAATCTACAAAAAATCTAATGTAGCGTCTTTTGTTGTTTTTAGGGTCTGAAACTCCAGAACTTGTGAAGTGTGAGTTTAACATTATTAATCCAAACACATCATGCATAGGAAGAGAAAAATCAAGACATGCCTAAAGCTTCCAGGTCTACAATGTCCATCCTTTCAGACTGCTGTTAAATGAGCAGAAAACTCTTATCAGAATCACTATTATATTGTTTTTAATGGGCTGCCATTTTTACAGAGGCCCAAGACAAACTTGTCAACATTTTGCATTTTCTTTCAACAACAACAAAAAAAAAAACTTTTCCCACACATAGGAGGAGTAGGAAGCATCCAGCATTTGCTGTAATATAAAAATTAAGCCACTAAATGTCCCTAGTTCTCATACTCAAAAGCTTCACATTAAGGGTTAGGTTGGTTTTTTGAGTGAGTTTATCCCTTTGCTTCAGTGCTGTGCCACTGAATTACCGTGGCTTAGTATCTGTGTGCAAACCTGCTAACACCTTTAAACGCATCCAAAGCCTGCGGGATGGGGCGTCAACTAACACTTGGAAAACTGTAAACTATGGAAGTGGGCAGCATGAGCAATTTCTCAAAGGCTCCTCCAACTTGAATGAACGTGAAATTTCTAAACTTTAAAGGGTTTGAGCAATTGTCTGCAGACCTGCAACACTTAGCCTCTTCTAGACCTGGAGATTTTGAATCCAGAAGAGCGCCAAAACCGTTCTCCAAAGTTAGAGCACAACATCAACATAAAGACTGGATACTTCCTGTGATTGAAACGCTCTTGTGTTTACTCTGTCAGTGAATGCCTAGTTCACATGGCAAACGTTTTATGCTGATTTTTGTTCCGTCTTCTCCTTTTGACAATCTTAAGGACACCCGACTACCTGACATCTCTTATGATCATAAGTGATATTCCTGTCATGTGTGGTGTTTTAAGAGTCAGAAGGACTTTATGACCTTATGTCGATATATTCAGCACACTGGATTGTCTTGGTCTGATATTGCAGTGTGTGTGTTTTTCCCCAAGGACACAAGAGACCCCGGTCTGTTGAATGTGATGTTTAGCCAATCACAAAGCGAGGTGACGGAAACATACAGAATAGAAAACTGTCATGGCGCACCAGACAGTCCAGTCAATGTTGGAGATATATTTTCGTATTGTTATTTTCTATATTAAAAAGAGTCCACAAACTATTCCCACTGCTTCTTCCTTGTCAGCCATGCTCTGGACTCACATTTGATCTCGAGATGTTTTGTGAGATTTCCGACATCTGAATGTTGGTGAGTAGAACTGGTTCGTATGTGGTGTGTTGCTAGATCCACATTTAAGATTTTATTATTGTATGCATCTCTCAAGTTTTGAAAAATGGTCCACAAATTAGTGGACCAATTTTCCAAATGTTTCAAACATAGTGCCCTGCGGTGCCTTGTGAACCAGGCACAACAGAAAAGGCAATGAGGCAAGAATACTTCTGCATAATTCCAATATCCATAATGCTCCCTTGGGAGCAAATGATCTTTTTAGACTTTGGTTTTCAGAAAATGTGTTCAGTTTTCAGATAATGTGTTTCACATTAAATTTTGTCTAAAAACAACCAAACTGCAAAATGCTTTGCTAAAGCCCTCACATGGCAGCAAGTCACATGTTCAAATACACCCCTGAATCAGCACATTTCTTAGACACGGAGACACTAAAACATACTCAGTCTAGTCACAGTCATAACACTCATATCTGAGCACAGAAGATGTGTCTCACAGTCTAAATCTTCCTTAAAGAGTTATGCAATTCTTCACATTCCCAAATAGCAGTCAGCTCTTCTAATGAAAATGATGAGGCTGATCACCTTGTTCTCTCCCAATATTTTCATGGCCACAACTCTTTAGTGGAGATGCTGTTATTGAGTGAAGGAGACTCAAAGTTTTGCCATTTGCAGGTGAGAAAAATGTAGGAAGTTATCAGCTGAAACATGGCGCTACATGTCTGCCACTCATTAAGGCTGCATTACAGAGAGAAAGTCAGGCATTCAACAACAGGAAGCAAGAATACTTCTTAGAAATCTATGAGGCAAGGTAAAGATCTACATTCTCAAGCTAATACAACCCATCAGTGCTGTTATTTAATGTTAGCCATGCTAGTTGCTAATATAAGATATGACAGAAAGTTTGAATGGAAGCTCTGTAATCATTTTTGACCTTTTAAAATAGTATAACCGTTTTACTATGAATGCACTGTCACACACATCATGTGACATTGCCTCTGCTTTTAATGTGAGACTATTACGCAACCACAAGGTGTCTTCAATCAGTGAGCTACTGTGATGCAGATAGCTACAGGGAATCCATACTGCCCACAACCATCAGCATCTACATCAACTCTGAAGAAACTAAGATAATATGAGTTAAAACATTAAAATTCTCTTTTGTGAATAATAAAGTATTTTCGAAATTGAATGAATTGGAATAATGAATGCACATTTGCAACACTTATTGTAGAGCTAAATTGATCATATTGATCTAAAAGTATTTCTACTTGTACATAATTAATTGCATGATTTTCTAAGGGAAAAATTCTGATGTTTCATAACTTCAATTATCCTAAATTAGTTCAAGTATTATAAAGTCTTGGGTCTCCAGCTCCAGTAGTTAAGGTCTAGTATCCTGCCGGCCCAAAACAGCTGATTCAAATAGTCCAACTAACTCAATCAGTGTGACAATGTTCTGCTAATGATCCATCATTTGATTCAAGTCTGTTGAACCAGGGAAACAACTAAGACTGGCAGGATACCAGCTCTCAGAACTGACTGCACCACTGCTTTCAATGGAAGACTACAACCTTTAAAAAGGGAAAAACTGTTCTGTTTCAGGTATGTGACAAAGTACGAGGCACAGAAGGAAAGAAAATGTTTCATGAGTTTGCAGTCTTCAGGCTGATTCAAACTGTTCTTCACTGAAAATTAATTTCAAGCTACACAAAGACTTTTTGGAAGCATTTTCCCCCTAACTCATTGTATCACAGCTTATTTAGGGGCGGCGGTGGCTGAGGAGGTAGGGGTTTGTAATGTAATCGGTGGGTTGCACATTCAAATCCACATTCTGTCTGTTTTAGTCGATTTACAGGTGATGTGTCTCTTAGTAACAAAAACGTTGTTTCTTGACTTTTGCAGAATCGTTCCATTCTTCTCAACAGCATAGCGAACAGTGGCTATTTGTTAGCAGTGCTAACCAGGGAAGATTTAATTGTTAAGCATAATCAGTGCTTTGGCTTTTCAGCCTATTTCTAGCAAAAACAATTGGAGAAGCCATCAAACATCACTTAAGTCACATACGAAACATACATGGATTTGTTCTGACTGAAATATCACATCTCCATTTGTTTATATAATAATATAAATAAACCTCATCAACTTATTATCTTTCTTGGCATGTGAAGGGCGAATGTGTTTTTATAAAATAGGTTGCAATAAATTGTTATTGTCTAGCAGCAATAATGGAGGTTAAATGGTGATGTCTTTAAGGCAAAGGACACAGGAGTGGTAATGGAGTAGATTTCAACTTTCTACGGATTGTTTTTGTCTTTAATAAAACTAATTCTTCAATTAAAATGTGTAGTTTGTGTGTAGTGTTGATTAACAGACAAACCTACTCTACCTATTTTCTGTTGTTACAGCAGCATTTTAAATGTCATTCGGCACTTGTGATAGTATAATAGTGCATAACATGGATAGCAATAACTATTGTACTTTTACTCAGATTGACTTGAGTAACTTTTTGCAAACAAATGTGCTTTTAGTAGTAGTTTTAGTACACCACATGTTTTACTTTTACTTGAGTATTGTTACTATGAAGTGTCACTGCTCTTACTAAAATAAAACTCAGTATTCAACCCACTGTGAGTAACTTCACTGAATGAAGAACAAACATGTTTTAACCAAAAAAACGAACCTAATAGAGACATGCAGAGCTACAGAATATGTTGAAGTGAGACCTCTTGTTTGAACACCAGCTTTGTTGTTCTAATGATAATTTTTTATCTGCGATAATTATAGGTGAAAAACAACAGTAAACACAATACATTGTACTGGAAGTACTTTACCCTGTTCTAACATATATGAAGAGAGACATTTAACTGTATTAGTTTAATATGTTTTATTTAAAAAATATATATTTGGAAAAGCATGTGTTCTTCCTTTAATTATTGTTCTGTAATTATGTAATTAATTTGCATTAATTATTTTCAGTTTGGTTTGTTCAAATACTTGAAAATGCACATAAGTTTATGTTTTGTTTGTCATTTAAAAATATTATATTAATATCTTAACAGTTACTGAGTACTTGTCGTCTTTTTACCCATGTTGAGTAGTTTCTTGAAAAAAATATTTTGGATAACTTTTACTTCAGTACAATTTTTGGGTACAGAAACTTAATATCTTGTCATAAATTGGAAGATTAACCAGGAGTTTCACAATTGCTTCTTCTACAACAGCAAGTCCATAACATTGCAAAAACACCCAGCTTTCTGTCATCCATAGTGATCTGCTTGAAGCAGTCAAGATAGAAAATGCATACGAAAAAAACTTTCTATTTGCCAGCTTGAAGAAAAATCCAGACTTTCTAGTCATATTTCAAACACATTTCTGCAGAACAGCACTGCAACAATGCTGGGTTGAAAATCAACCCAGCAACTAACCAAACACACCAAGAGATTGTCAGACATTCCTCGTCTTCCTCACAGTCACTTCAGCAGCCTCTGTGGGAACATTTGAAGGTGCCACAAAGTGAAGAAAATAAAAAGTGGTGCCAACAAGAAAAAGATTGCTACAGATGGTGTGTTGTGTTCGCTTTAAATCAGCATCTGGAGCAACGCTTCGTTTCCAACTGGCAGCAATCTCGGTTGCTGTTATGAGTCGTTTTCTACTTCTGGTCAGAAAATTTTCTGAACTAGAAAAAAACATTTCTAACTTAAATGTTTTAGAGGGTTCCTACCTGATATTTGTGTAAACATTACAGACATTTTCAAACTCCAAAACTTCTTGGTTCCTTGTGCTCATTTTAAAATCTAAATTTAAAGTTTTCCCTTTTTTCGCAGTATGAACTGGAAGCCTGCCCAGGATGTAGCCCTCCTTTCCCTCACTGCTGCCTGGAACACACAGGTATGGAAAATGGATGGACGTTTCTAAAGTGGGCAAGTTTTTCATATTGCTCCTGCAGCAACAAGAAACTAAGAGGATGAAAGGACTGAAGCAGGATGAAAGGAAGAAAATAAAGACACAAAGAAGAAAAGGGAAAGAAAGAAACAGAGTGGAAGAATCACTGTCAAAAAGAAGGCCATAGGAAGCCAGCTCAGACAGAAAAAGAGAGGAAGAGGACAGGAAGGATGACCATAGAAAAAAAGTTTGATGGAAGGAAAAAAACTAAATTATTTTCTACAGTTTTCTACACTTGTCCAGTACACGAGTGTAGTGGAGTCAAACGGCATCCTTATAAACTCTGGAGTAAAGATATATAAAAGTTCTTGTGGTGTTTCCAGTGCTACAGTGAAAACATGAAGTTTTCCTGGATGGAAGCTCAGTCAGAGGAAACATTCCGTCTACAGCTACAGGGCAGCTTCCTGTAGCCCTGCAAGTGCTCAGACGGGAGAGCAGCCACAGGGGGGCAGTATATCCCTCAGTACCACTCCTCCACCTTAAAATACATAACATAGCCCAAAATAAATAGATCAAATAATAAATTGCTGTAATAGTACGACATGTTAGCTTCCACCACAGTGAACCTTCAGCTTCTCTTTAGGATTATATAGTTTGAAGATCTAAAATATCTAAACCACATGATACACAGAACAAATGACATCCCTGTCACACGACATCAAATGGGTTTTCATTAGCCACTCATACTGCACTATTCAAAGGCAACGGAGTGCAGCTTCTCCTGCAGCAGACTGTTAATGTTCCAGCAGAGTCATCAGACGAATCGGATGTTTTCACAGTGAAGAACCGAGAGTCTGCACACCAAACATCACAGCCAGTTTCAGCTGCTGCTCTGCATGGAAACATCGCTGAGCAACATGCATTTCAGCAAAGCAGTTGCTGCATTTTAAACAACTCATCTCTTGTGCGCTTTGTAAAACTTCAGCAATTGTCAAGACATGCAGATTAAACCTGTAAGCGTCGCAGCAGTGTTGAATGGAAATAAAGACTCCATTTTTGCTTCTAATTACTGCATAAAGCTGATTGTAAACTCATCTCAGAAATGTAAATGAGTTGTCAGAAGCACTCCAACTTTAACTCATCTCCTTAAGAGTAGAATTAATATAGCAATTACCCTTCAGGAGTGGCTTGATATTCTAATGTCTGCATCTGCTTCCAGGTGTTGAAAGTATCAGTATACGGGTTGTAGGGCAAAACGCAGCGCTGTTCTTTAAATGAGGCGGATGGAGGAGCAGACTGATCCTCACTGCACTGTCTGGTACAGGTAACCTCTCTTGTAGGCGCTCAGCGGGTAGAAGGTGGCCACCACAAACCTCCCGTCGAAGGTTCGGCCAGTCAGCAGCCGCTGGGCTTCTTTGGAGTCGCTGGAGTTGGCGTACTCCACAAACACCTTGTGGGAAGGAACGGGTTAAAGGACGAGTGAAAGAAACACTGAATGTTGTTGCAGAAACAGTCAGAACATTGAGCACCGACTCAATCTGTCTAAGGCTACATTCACACAGCAGATACTGATCCTCAATCCCAAATTTTGCCTGAAATGTGATTTCTTTTGCGTGATCATTCACACTACTGATTGAATGTGACCCAAATTAAGTGTGAACATTTGACTGTTATGTGAATGTAGCTTTAATGGCTAAATCCTCTCACCTGCCCTTTTCCGGGATTCTCCTTAGGAATGAGCAGAGAAACCACTGAGCCGTACTTCTGGCACTCCTCCTTCATGTCCTCCAGTATGTCTGGGAACAATAATCAACACAGACTGTCGAGCTTCTGCTTGCATTCACTGTGGGAATATTTTTTATACGTTAGATTTCCTTTTTTTTTTTTTTTGCTGATATTAACCTCTAATTACATTGACATGTAACTTCTATACATTCTTCTGTACTAATTCCAGACACCAGCTGGTTTCTATAATTGTTATGTCTCAATCAATTCATCAATTTGTGCTCAAGAATGTTGACTCTGGGATGCATCATGTTTCACTGAAGTGAAGGAATTCTGGGAAGCTCACATAGCAGAGATGCCAACATTGGCACCAGAACAGTCAACTAAAGCTTGGATCAGCCGATGGCCCTCCTGTCTTTACTTTTTAAAAACAGGTGAGAGAAGAAATTGCTTGGTTCTTGTGCACCATGTTCAGACCTTAAAAGTCCATGCAATTCTCCAATATTCTCACAAAGATGTTCTGAAACATATCTGAAGTGTTTGCTTGAAACAGTGCTACACATTCTCGACTGAAACGTCCGCTGCTCTACAGTCTTTGTGGATATTTTTATGCATTGTTGCTGACAGCATGGCAGCATCCTCTCATAGATCATTACCGATTGGATGATGGTGTGTCACCATGGCTTCCACTTCCTCCAAAAAGATCTCAAATGCCGTTTTATATGCCTGCATTAGTCTCTCTCAAACTGTGGTCCCCGGATCACTAGTGGACTGGGGGTGCCCCCTGAGTGGTCAAGAATGTTGACCACTAGGGGCAACATTTGTGGTACTGCATGTAAACAACCTTTTATTTGCCATGACAATAGCTTAAAGTGGGACGCTACAGTTAGCTTTCCAAAGAATTTTGTTAAAAATAATGATGGAAAAGTTTCTTTAAAACCAGATTACCGAAAAGAAAAGCTGCAAACACCAGTGGAAAGAAAACAACCCCAGGACTACTTATATGATCAGAAGAAACTGAGTCACAGCTGCTGAGTGTTGATGTCGTTCACTAGCGATGGATCCCTTTGAATGGTTAGCAGTAGGACTCGCTCCAGTTAATCAGAACTGTTCTTTGCTTTTTATTACTTTGTTTGACATTGAATGATGCTCTGCTTTTAGGTCAACAGCAATTGTTATTATTTAATTTTAAAAATATATTAAATTAAACAAATACAATTGTTAGAAACCCTTATTTTTTATAATTTATGGTGCAGGAAAAGATTTTTTGTTTCTGTTAAAGCAACTCAAGTCTGTTTGTCTTTAATTGTGCTTCTAAATCACCCTACATGTTAACACTTGGTAGTAAAGAACAACTTCTTTATTTATTTCCAGGTATTTGATTTTATTGGAAAACTTAGACATTTTCAGAATATGTAAATAACTCAAAATGTTCATGGCTTTGTCCTGACCAGTCACATAAACCAAACGCCACCACTTTCCTCATTAGGAAAATGAAGAAACAACAATAAGGGAGTTAAGAGACTAATATTTTTAAGGCAATTTCTGGTTAGATGGTCCGGGACTGTTTGTTAAATGGGTTAACTGGTCCACAAAAACTTAGATTTTAATTGTAATAAAGAAAAATGAAAAGAATACAATAGAAACACACAATACCTTCATACTCTTCATCGTTGTGAAGGTGGCTGTCGTCAATCAGGTTAAGCAGACGCAGAACAGGAGAAGGCAGGAGAACTAGATCCTCTATGTGAGGGGCTGACACACACATACACACACACACACACATACATTGGTAAATATAGCAGAGTAGGAGCTTCAGTGATGACTGCAGACATGCAAAGTATGTCCACCTACCGAAGGGGATACTGAAAAACGGGCTGAGCAGGGCAGCTTCAGCTGTGCATCTCTGCTTTGGGTTGTTGAGCAACATGCTGCACACAGAGCAGACAGCCCACTTCACTGCAGACTACATCAAGGAACAGAGGCAGAGTCCAGGAGTCAATGCTTACCTTTTAATAAGGTCTCTGAGGTGATAGACTGGGATGGCAGGGCACATCACGCCATTACTAGCAAAGATGCGATTGACGACAGCAATGCTGTTGTCCTGCAGCCCAGAAACAGAGGCAGTGTGATCTGATTTTATTATCCAACAGATCTGCATTATTAAACACTTTTTTGTTTTAGGCGCAGAAAAATAAAGCATTCTGCTAGAGCATGAAAATTTAACTGAGCAGCAGCATTTTAATTTGACCAGAAACACATTTAATAAAATAAAAATCTTAAAATGTTGACATTTCTAGTTTTAACAAAATAAAAAAATGTCTGAAACACAATATTTTCCTTAATAAATTCAGGCTTCTTGGTTCTGTGGAGAGTTTGGCGGTACCTTCCAGTCCTGTGAGCGGACGGTGTCTTTCAGTTTGATTCCTGAGAACATCTCCAGCAGGATGACGCCCAGGCTCCACAGGTCGATGGCGGCTGTGCAGCCAGAGTCTCCCTCCATCCCAGCCTGGGCCAGGCTGTTCTGGAGCTCGGCTTCTGGGGCTCGATATCCATCCGTCTGGATGTACTTCACATCCTAACAAAACAAATGGATCATTTTAAGAATCCCTGCCAGCCCACCTTCTATTTTCTCACAACCCAACATACACACAAACCTGGTTTCCCTGTTTGAAGCTCAACCCGAAGTCGATGAGCTTGAAGCACTCGTCGTCGGCGCTCCACAGGATGTTGCGTGGTTTGAGGTCAGCGTGGACATAGCCTTCTCTGTGAAGGAAGGCTAGAGCCTCCAGGATGTCTCTGGCACAGTGCTGAACCAGCCACATGGAGTGGCCCTTCTGGGGTCTGCTGCAAGGCATCAAACACAGGGGGACAACCATTCATTTCTCAAGTTATTGGCTTTATTTGCAACTATAAAAGGACAAATAATAATAGCAGAGCCAACTGCCTTGATTCTAATAAATTTATTTAATATGTTCTTGTATTCCATGATGAGATGATTCAATGACAAAAAAAATGCTTTTTAAATGCAAGAATTTGGTAAAAGGTGTCTTAAGAAATAAATCAAGTGGAAAATAACAATAAGACAACAAATACTACTGATTCCTGAAGCTAAAGAAACTCCCTGACTTTCCTGTCTGCAAGTATTCCAGTAGTAAGACAGGAGCGAAGAGGCATAACCTGCCTGCTCCAACCAGAGACCAAGAGTGACGGTGCGATCAGCAGCAACATGGCGCGACTTACCTTACACCCTTGACACCATTGCTGCGCCTCACCAGCAGCTCCGACACGCTGACATCCAGGAGCTCCAGCAGGAGGCAGCGTGTAGCCACACCCACACAGTTGTGGTTGGTGAAAACACCATACAGTGTAACTGAGAAACAAGAGGAGACATCATGCATCATAATGAAAGTAACCGGCTATTTTTCAGTTTACAAACACAGACTTCAACATATTTTAAAGAAAGTGCAAGTGCAAAAGTACCGTATAACTGGGAATGAAAGCAATAATAAAAGATTTTGTTACATATAAACAACATTCCTTCCACATCTTGATGGTGGATTTAACTGAACTCCAGAGGATGTTCAGGGACTTGGGAGAATGTTTAGCAAAGTACCTGAAAAACAGGTACTGTGCAGCCAGTGCAGCAAAAGCTGATGTTGCAGTGCTAACTTGGAGGGTCTAAATGCAACTGCACACCACATTTTGAGATTTTTCTCCAGACAAGTTTTGAAAACGGTGTTATAATTATCTTTTGAAAACGGTGTTATAATTATCTTCCACTTCACTTCATTTTTAGGTCTATCTCACAAACTCCCAAAGAAGAGATTGAAGTTTGAGTTTTAACATGACATAATGTGAATACATTTAAAGGGTATGAATGTTTTTGACTCGCTCTGCAGATTAACTATTGGAAGGAGAATCACTCTTTAAGGAAAAACAATAATACCTTCGGGATATTTGCAGAATGTGGCTAATTACTGGCCACAGATGTAGAAAGCCAAAACTCAGGCAACTCTTCTCCAAAAAGTAAGCTACTAAACACACAGGAAGTAAAGTCACCTCTGCAACCAAGCACACACTGAAGTATTGCTCTTACCAATGTTCTTATGCCCCTGGATGTCCTCCAGCACGGCCCTCTCTTTGTGATAGCCGTAGTCCCCTCCCTGTGAGTCGCCCTGGAACTCCTTCACTGCGGCCGTAGCGGCTCTGCCGGAGCTGACTTGGTAAACCGAGGCCGACACTCCTTGACCGAGTCGGGACTGAACGGTCCAGATCTCGCCGAAAATCTCAAACAGCACCGGCCTCATGCTCTGGTCCACGCTGACCTGGGACGGGATACTTTCTGGAGCCTGAACCTTTGAGGTTGGCTCGGACGGGACGCAGTGAGCCATCGGAGAGCGACGGAGGAGAGAAAAGCAGAGGAGGGGAGGCAGCTAGTTGAAAGGTGGAAGCAACTGCGGGAACATTGCGAGCCAAGTTCTATGGTCACCTTATCAGCGTTGCTAATTAAACACCTGGATGAGTCAACGCCAGCTAACACAGCGTGGTTACATCAACAAGCCTGTTTAAAGCGAGCGCAGAGTAACGTCGGAGCATATTAAGACAAGGTTCGCTGTCAAAACGAGTCAGCTGACAGATAAAGTTAGCCAACTTAGCTTCCACAAACAGTTTATCTAGCCACCGACTTTGAGGGCAAAAACACACCGCTCCCACGGTGGATGAGAGATAAATTCCTCCATAATGCACCAATGACTTTTAAAGCGGCCAGATGTTGTACATAAATTACATAAACTAGTGTTTCAGACCACTGCAAAGTTTCGCTGAAGTTGTAAATTCAGGTTGTTGACACTTAACTAACTTCCGTTTCTGCTGGGTCCATTTCGTCTTCTCAAACGAAACGTCTGCCCCCTCTCGGTAAGGAGGGTGCTCACACTTAGTGTTTTTGCGTTTGAAAACCTTAAAGTTAATAAAATTTTAACTATGACATTTTTATACCATAGCAGGAATAAAATTATAGTTTTTCATAATTGTTGTAATCGAACCCCAAGATATTATGAATAATGAGACTCTAAAACACTTCATACCAAAATAAATATTGTACATCAATAAAGGCCTCTAGAGTGGCCTTTATTGTTACACTAGAGCAGGGGTGGGCACTCCTGGTCCTCGAGGGCCGGTGTCCTGCAACTCTTGGTTGTCTCCCTGATCCAACACACCTGAATTCAATAGCTGAATCACCTCCTAAATGCAATCAAGTTCTCCAGAGTCCTGCTAATGACTTCATTATTTGACTCAGGTGTGTTGAAGTAGAGATACATCTAAAAGTTGCAGGAGACCGGCCCTCGAGGACCTGGAGTGCCCACCCCTGCACTAGAGGCTCAGTAGAGAAGTTCTGCATCTATGTTCCACAAGATGGTTGTTCTAGTCAGTCTGTCATGGTAAAGAAAAAGTCGACTCAAATAATCTGACCAAAATAATGAAATCCTGAGTCCAAACTCAGAATTTCTTGGAGAGAATATATTTCTACTGACTCTGGAACACCTGGGATCCCCAGAACAAGCTTGGCAGAGTTTTTGGGTAGATGGATGAATGACTTTGGATCTGGATCTGTTACTCTTGTTATTGAGAGAAAGTTTGTTGTTTTGTTGTTGTTTTCCTTTTATTCTTTAGTTTCCTGAGCTTGCAGTCAAAAGATTTGTTGGCATGTCTGGATGTCCACTGGATGGATCAAGTGCCTGTTTGGAAATGGCCAAATCCAAGTCTCGATGTTTTGGTACTGAATTCCCAGTTGTTGGGCAACAATAACTATTTATCTCAAGACATCTATGATTTAAAAAAAAAACAAACAAAAAAACTTGTTATTGTGTTAACAACACACTTGTGTGGTCCAGACCAGAAAACAGCCCATTAAGCATCTGGTTGAATTCCCACATAAACTCCCTGTGAAAACAGCTGGATTGTATGACTGTTTTCATACGCTACTTTCACATTTTGAATTAATTTTTGTTTAATATCTACTGACATGGCTGAGTCTTTTGAAGACGTCAGTGCATTTTAAAATCTGAAAGTTTCTCTTTAATTGACCATTTTCACTTTAATTTGAAAAAAGAGCTAATGTATAGTATTTTCGCCGGAAATCGAGGAATGTACTCTTCCGGGAAAAGGAAGCGTCAGCAAAATCAGGGTGGTGTTTTTGAACAGTTTGAACAGAAAGTGGCAGCTCTGCCCTGGAGAAGCTAAAAGAAAAGGAGTTGTTGAAGTAGCAGGTGGCGGTGCAACCTTTAGAACAGCTCTTCGGTGAGTTAAGCGACGCGGAGCGCCATGTTGGTTGTTCTGTCATTTATTTCACTGCTGATAACAAGCAGCCATGCTCTTATTCAGGAGTCAAATCCTAAAGCGAGCGTTACCTCGTTCATTCTGTGAGGCCGCTAAACGGGTGAGTTAGATCAATGCTGGTCTGCGTGTAATTTTTAGCCGTGAATACGGAACAGAAAATGGGGAACATGCCTGCTCATTTACGGAGTTCCAATCTGGAGCACCATTCAGTTGGCTAGCTGCCTTTATTAAACGAACTGCAGACAGCAGCGACGTGGTTTCACAATTTGAACTGTATAATAAATAGAAGACGGTGAGGAATGATTTTTAGCCCCTGGTTATTGGTTGACTTTAAAATATCCAACGCGAGTTCTTTGGTTACAGCAGCTAACAAACAGATGGAGCAGCCAGTTACTACAAGATAAATTCACTTTGGTCACGCGCACAGCTGATTCCTGGATCCTGAAAGTCACGTGACATTCAAACACCCAGATGCTTAATATTATGGACTGCGTCGTTTTGGGCTAAGTTTTCAAGTTTTGTTAAACTTGAGTCTAACTTATGAATAATTGCGGCAGAAAAAAACGACTAAATGAAGGCTAATTCTCCTCTCTGGTCTCTCTACCCCCCAACCATCAGAGTAGTCAGATTCAGAGTAGAAAAATGTTTGTTAAATTAGACTAGACGTGTCAAAGGTTAGTTTAGTGTATTTCTTAAAGCTTTGAACCTCCACGTAAACTACTTTCTCTAATCTTTTCTGTATAAGGTGTTTTGGAGAGGCATGAATGACTTTGCAGTTCTCAACACTGGGCGGAAGATGCCCCTTATTGGACTGGGCACATGGAAGAGTGAGCCTGGGAAGGTAAAAATAGGATGTTTTATGTTTTTTAAGAGATGCTCTATATTCTCAAAAATGGATGCATTGTTTGTATTCAGGTGGTCCAGATGAATATAATCAGCACATAGAAGTTCACTCAGGAGCTCAGTGAATTCACAACAATGCCACAGGAATTCTGTTGACACAGATTTATTGCTGCTAAATATCACACAGTCAACTGTTGGTGTTTGTTATGACAAAGTGCTCATACATTTTCAGTCATGAGCTACTAGGTGGCCAGAAACACCTCTAGACTCTGGAGAAATGAAGTATTGTTGAAATGTACGATTAATTATCTCCTTCTGACAATCCAGTGGATGAGTCTGGGTTTGGTGGTTACCAGGACAACTGCACTGGCCTGACTGTAGTGCCAAACCAGCAATTTAATGTTATTTTTCTGGGCTTCTTTGAAAAATAAGAAAGAAGATTCACATTTAATTCAGATTGTTTTGACTGGATTGATTTGAATTTACATTTCTGGATATGGATGGTAACTGTTGTGAACTTCTACAAATCTGGAGAATTTAACTAGTTAGCTCATTCACATTACATTACCAATTAAGAATGTTTTGAATGTATTTCACTGTCCATATTGGACAGAAGTCTGTGATTTTAACTTCTGGTGTGATTTATCATTTTTTTGTGTGTGAGTTTTAAAGTGGGACAGACAATTCTATCATTCTTAGGAAGCTCTTCATTCTCCTGACCTTTATGAGTTTTCATAACTGCTCAGGTCTGTGCTTATCTGAACTGACAGGTGAAACAAGCCGTTCTGTGGGCCCTGGAGGCTGGCTATCGTCACATCGACTGTGCAGCTATCTATGGGAATGAAGTTGAGATTGGAGAAGCTCTGCAGGAGATTCTGGGCCCAGACAAGGTGATGCAGCCCGTCTCATCAGACTGAGCCCTGAGCTGATGCTGTACTCTTCATCTTTTTGTATCTTATCAAGCACATACATTTTCCACTTACGGTACATGGATGTTGCAATATTATGTTTACAGTTTTCTTAACATAATAATAAATGTAAAACTTTTTCTTTCTTTTTTACTGATTCCCTCCTTTTATGTCACACATTCAAAGTTATTTAAAGTCTTTTTTTTCCTGAGATCTTTTGTGTCGTTCTTCAGTCTCTGAGACGAGAGGACGTCTTCATCACATCTAAGCTGTGGAACACCCGCCATCACCCAGAGGATGTGGAGCCCTCCCTCCTGAAAACATTAAAGGAGCTGAAGTTGGAGTACCTGGACCTGTACCTCATTCACTGGCCCTACGCATTCCAGTAAGTTCAGTAGCTTTTTTAGATCAACGCAGTGATGGGAAAACTGTCCTCACTATGGCTCGATGCCTTACAGAACCGCCTGTAGGAACAATAACTCTGTGGCTCTTTTCTGTCTAACTTTAGCAGCCTCATCACTAGCTGCATTTCCTCTGACCAGACAATTTTGTAGTTTGATTTTGATAAAAAGTAATCAAAATTTCTTTATTTCGTAAAACTGGAATGGAATCACACTTGACCAACAACCAAATATTGTCACTGGCACAAACTACAAAGAAGTACAGGAAGTATTTGGAGGATGGTGATGTGACATGTTTTTTTAATGCCTCATCACATAAGGACATTTATGTAATGGAACCACAGAAATTGTCTTTTTGTTTTTTACATCTGTAAAAATTTAAAAATGACAAAGTTGTGCACATTTGCAACGAAAACACAGCTTCACTCCTGTTCATTGAGGTCTGCTGAGATACATTTATGCACTGCTAGCCTGAAGGCCCTTCCAATGCTTTTTTAATAATGTTGAACTCTGGACTTTGACTGGGCCATTGGAACACCTAGATTACTTTCATTTTCAGCCATGGTGTTGTAGATTTGCCAGATTTAATTTCAGTCAAATAATAATTTGACTGATCATTTCAGTCGGTGATAATAACTATGCATAGCTATTATCACTTCCCTCCCATTCCCAACAGTTTTATTGTACTAGTGCCTTTATTCAGTGATCATACAGAAAAGGAGGCAGAGATACTGTAAGGTTGGGAGTCAAAATATGTGCAGCACTCACAGCTGACTCCCTTCTCCATGTGCCAGACGAGGAGACGCTCCATTCCCCAGGAAGGAGGACGGCTCCCTGCTGTATGATGACACAGACTACAAGGTGACCTGGGCAGCCATGGAGAAGCTGGTGGAGAAGGGCCTGGTCCGATCCATTGGCCTGTCCAACTTCAACAGCAGGCAGATTGACGACATTCTGTCTGTGGCCAGCATTAAGCCCACCGTTCTTCAGGTACATGACGCCACTTCAAAGGCTGAGGAACGGAGAACAATCAGCTGAGGGGGCTTCTGTATGTCTGTCTGGCAGGTAGAGAGCCACCCGTACCTGACCCAGGTAGACCTGCTGGCACACTGTCGGGACCGGGGTCTGGTGGTGACCGCCTACAGCCCCCTGGGGTCTCCAGACCGAGCCTGGAAACATCCAGATGAACCCGTCCTGCTGCAGGAGCCTGCAGTTCTGTCACTGGCAGAGAAGTACAACAAGTCTCCTGCTCAGATCATCCTCAGGTGATTTTACTGCTAAGAGTGTATAAACACCACATGCATGGAGAGCTGACTTTGTCCTCCTGTATCAAACTATGTCACATATTGT